TGCCTACAAGGGGACACCCCTTCCTGGTCCCTTTGCAGACCCGCCCAAACAGCAGAAGCGCCTGCAGCCAGCGCCCACTGGGTGGCGAAAGAGTCCCAGCAATGCCAGCGGAGGCACGGCCATCCCCACCCCGGACCCCCTGGCTCCTGAGTCCCAGCTCCGGGGCTCCTGCCCTGGAAATGAGTGTCTGGGCCATCGGCCCCCCTCCCGTACCAGCCCTCACCCTGCTCCCCCATTTATAATTTTCACTTTTATAAAAGCACCAGGGTTTTTAGAAAGCTGAGGTCACCTGCCTTCTAGCTGCTGACGGTCCTGAGGGTAGGAGGAGTAGACATTACTGTACCCCACTCACAGTTGACAAAATGGTGGAGCAGTTCTGAATCGCAGTCAAGGTCAAACAGTGAATGGCAGAGCTGGCCTCGGACCCAGGTCCTCCAGACTCTGAACCCCACGTTCTTACTGCCAGATCCCCACTGCCCGTCTTCTTAGAGGGGGTCCAGCGCAGCACCCACCCCGCTACTTTGGATCAGAGTCAAGCCTGGGTGCTTGATTCCACGAGTCCATATGCTGCACCCTGATGGTGCCCATCTGGTCTTCAGCACGCTGGCATACCCCAAGGCCAGAGCCCAGGCCTGCCTCGCAGGACGTGAGGGCACTCGGAGAGGCTGGCAGCGCCAGCCAGCTGGGCGATGGGCACGGCTGTCCCTGGGATGGGGTAGCAGGCAGACACCACCCCGTGGGAGCCCGCAGCCACCTGAACTCCCCAGACTCGGCCCATGTGAGGAAGGACAGGGCTGGGGCAGGAAAGGCTCTAGTGCTCAGGTTTCCAGCAGATTCTGGGTATGCATGTGAACGAGGCAGAAAAGGCTGGGAGACAGGTTTGGATTCAACGGGCTGCTTCTCCTCGTGGCAAGGAGTGGAAGCTGCGAGAACGTACAAGTAAAGCCAATTTGTCAGACCCAGGTGGGTGGGGCCAGGAGGGAGAGGACACCTGGCAGGTAGCACCCTGGAGGGAAAGAGCGAGGCCGGTGGAGTGAGGAGTCTTGGCTTCAGGCCCTACCTTCACCACCGACCTCGGTTTACCCATGCATTTATGCAGCCAGTGCTCAGCCCCTCCTGGACGATGTGAAAGCCCAAGGGAAGCTCATGAGTGTCCTATCAACAGAAGACCCCTGGGGGGGCAGGGTGAGCTCGGCTGTGCAGTGTGCTCCCCACGCTATGGGAGAGTCAGGACCAGGGACGGAGCCCCCTCCCTTGGGCCTGGGAGTATGCGTGGACAAAGGCAATTGTTCTCACTGTTGTCTGGCCCCGGGGACACCGTGAGGGTGGCAGATTTGGGGGCTCCATGCCAGGCTGGATCTCTGCACCCCGCCTCCTGGAGGGGATGCAGACGAACGGGGTGCAGCCAGCCAGTGTACAGTTGGGAGCGGCTGAAAGCAGCGGCTTTGCTATTAATGTAGTCAGTAAATAAATAAAGGAGGGCTTAAGCTTAGTGTACAGCAATCAGTTTAGAACTACAGGGTAATTAGCGCTGCAGGGGGCGGCAGGGCTGCAGAGTCAGGTTTAAATGAGTGAGTTCACTTTCACTGAGGCACCCCCGGAGAGCAGAAAACACAGCCGAGCGGAGCCGCCCTCCTGCCAGCCCCCAGGGGGCAGGGGTTCAGCAAGCGGATCGGATCCTGGGGCTGGACTCAGCACCACGTAAAGGGCTGGGGGATGGTCCCCGTGGTTGGCCAGGGAGCAGGTGTCCACATGCGCACACACCCAGCGAGGTGCCGCTGTCCTGTGCCGACTGTGCCTCCCTTGGCACATGGAGAACACGGTTCAGGTGTCTCCATGAAGGGATATAGGCACCAGTGAGAGGAAGGAGGAGCACCTCTGTTGGAGCCTTCTCGAAGCCCGTGGCAGGCAGGCACGTGGAGGTGCCCAGGCGGGCATGTGCTGCACACCTAGTTACCTGATTTCACCCGGTCCTGGCAACCGCAACCTCAGCTCCAGATGCTAAGTTCCTCTCTCCTTCCTTCTCCCTCTTTCATCTGTTTATTCAAGATTTACTGGGTGCCTACCGTGTGCCAGTCTGCATTAGGCTCTGCGAACACCTAGCACACAACTCCTGCCTGCAAGGACCTTCACGTTGGGTGGATGGTGACCGTTAGGAAAGCCGGTGATCACAGTGCACTACAAGGAGCCGTAGCATGGGGGCTATGCCCAGGAGGGCACCCAAGTCAGCCTCAGTGGCCGGGGAAGTTTTCCTGCAAGAGGTGAGGTTCGAGCTGAGATCTGAAAATGAGATGATGAGACCGCCAGACTGAAGCGCGGGCACATGTGTGGGTACAGTCCCCAGAAGAGGACACGGCATGTGCAAAGGCCCACGCGGAGCACAGGGTCTTCTGGGAACCACCCGTGGTCCAGCTGGTGTGGAGCGTGGGGGGGGGGCAGCCACAGAATGTAGGGGTGATCCTGAGACAGGGCTGGGGTGGTGAGCACAGGGGCTCTGTCACTGAAGGTGTTGCGAGCCTTGTTAGGAGCTGCAACTCCACCCTATCCTTAGAGTCCCCACTGGCCACTTCAACCAAAGGGGTGGCATGACGCTATCTGCATTTTTGGAAAATCCCTCTGGCTCCTGCAAAGCAAAGCATAAAGCAAGGATGGCACAGAGGGAGGCGGAGCCCCTGGGGGCAGTCCTCCTGGGCCCTCTCCTCCTCCTGGTGGGGGGAGCGAGGGGCTCCCCAGGCAGCCAGGTAGGGGGGGCCTGGCCGGGCTGAGCCGGACACAGACGGCCTGGCCTCAGCCTTTGCTCGCCATCTGCCTCTTCCCACCCGCCACAACTTGCCAGAGTCTTTAGCAAGCCTCCGCTGGCTCTGGGCCTCTGCTGTGCCACCTTTGGCAGGAGGGCAGCTCTCCAGAGCGGCTGGGAAGACAGCTGTGAAGGCGGAGACGATGTGACCCGTGTGCCCACCTGCACCAGAGCAGCCTCGGCCAGGAAGGGACCCTGTTCGTGTGTCACCCGGGGGGCTCCCACCTCATCCCCGTCCTTGGAAACCCGCTGGGCAGGGTCGGAGCCCCTCCCTCGATGGCTTGGCCCCTCTCCTGACCCCAGCAGAGCGCCTCCTGCGCAAGCCCGTCCAGGCCCGGCCATCCTGGAGGAGGTGGCCGCTGCTGCAGGCCGGGGGCAGAGGGCAGCTGGGCCGGGCTGGCAGGGGTGGGAGGGTGGGGACGGAGTCCGGCCCCAGAACGTTCTCAGGCTGGCCCGGCCAGGGCCCCTTTCTCTCCATGAGATCATATCTGGGTCAAAGAGCATGTAAAGCAGGCAGACCCCAGCGGCCACACAAAGCCCATTCAGCCCAGCCACTATTCACCGGGAGCCCACACCACAGCGACCCCGGCGCAGCGCCTAAGCCCCGGCTTTGATGTCCGAGAACAGAAAACGGCGATTAAATGTTGTTTTAAAGAGGGAGTGCTCGCTGCCCTCCCATCTGTCAAGAGAGAGCTGAGGCCCGGGGGGAGGGGCGGGGGGAGGGGCCGGGGGCCTGGGGGACCTCAGAGAAGGGACCGGAGCAGAAGAAAGGGGCGCGCAGAGCACTGGGGGCAGAGACTCAAAAGCGAACCCGAGATATTTTTGGCAGAGGCTGGTTTTCCAAGAGGAGCACTGTAGGGAGAGGAAGAAGAATGTGGGACGGAGATACAAAGGCCAGGAGGAGCCTCAAAAAAAAAAATAATAATAACGAGAGAAGACAGGGTTAGAGGAATAAAGAGAGATGGGGGCGGTGAAAGGAAAGGGCAGAGCAGAGGGAAGGGGAGGGAAGAAAGTAGTCAGGGGAGCCGACTCCAGGGGGCTGGAGCTGCCCTACTGTGGCCCCTCCTCCTCCTTGAGGTCACCGGGCTGTCCCAGGGAAGGGCGGCTCCAGGTGGCTCTGGGCTGGCAAGCCTGGGTCGCACAGGCCTTGAAAACCCTCCGTGGGTTGGACAGCCGGGCTTCCAGTCCAGGCCCTGGGCAGGCAGGGTTGCGGGGCGTTCCCGGGGTGCAGGCTGGGGGGTGGGACCGCAGAGTGCAGTCGGGGAGGGTGCTAGAGGCCAGGGGGCCCCTGAGGCTTGGCACTGGGCTCACCCTGCAGGGGCTATGCAGTGGGTTCAGGAGGATCCCTAGCTCCAGGTGAGGTGACCGATTCTCTCCAGGTAGGACAGCGTCAGGCGGAGGCGCTGGGCCAGTGCGTCCAGACTCAGGTGGAGTTGGTGTCACAGCTCTAGATAAGCAGGCCAATGCTGCCATCGCCGGGAGAGGAAGGCAGGCAGGCCCGGGACGCAGGGGGAGCCATGCTCTGGTCTTCCGGTGGTGATTAGGGTTTGCACCCCCACCTCCCAACTGTTCCCTTCTGTCCCCATCTCCTTCCTCCACGGGGCTTGGCGGGCTTGGCGGCCACAGACCAGGGACCTGAAATTGGGTGGCAGCTTCTCTTTGAGAAGTTTCAGGAAGTCAACAGTGTCTCTATAATGTAGAGGGCCCCAGCTCCGGGGACCTGGGAAAGGCAACCCAGATTCGGTATCAGGAGATCCGGATGCTAGTTCAGACTCTGCCACTCACCAGCTGCGTGACCCCGTGATCCCGAGCAAGTTCTAGCACAAGCAACCAAGCAAGTGAATTCTGTGGCTCCCTGAGGGCAGCGGTTTGTCCGTCCTGCTCCCGCCGCATTCCCATGGCCCACAGCAGTCACTGCTATGAGCTGCTGCAGGAACGTCTGTGTTGACCAGTGCTGACTTCATACATTGTTCCAAGGATCAAGTCACAATGTATTTAATGCTACTTTTGAACTAAAAAAAGTATTAGGAAAATTCGTTGTGTCTCATAAATACCATATAAGGGGCCACAGAACTGCGCCAGAGTGTTCTCTTCCCCCATCCCCAGCCAGAAATCTCAGTTCTTCTAGCGTTAACCACCCAAGAAAAGGCAGAAAAGACAAAGCAATTTTTTTTTTAGAAAAAAGGGGACACTTCAAACCAGAGACAACTGAATTAACTTTATTCTCTTCTAACTGCAGATTCAAGGTATACAACTGAACATTGCTATTTTCCTTATGAGACTTATAAATAAAAATACAAAAAATGTTCACTACAAAAAAATCTACTGTTAGTAGGATGTAAAAAATATTCTCTTTGCTATAGAAGGCACAAACTTCACTTAGTGACACATGGAGAGAGAAAAAAACCTGCAGCAGTAAATTCATTTTTTCTTTTTTTTTTCTTTTTTCCTTTTTAAATCTTGTCAGAAACACTGAAATTACAAAGAAACGCATCAATCTACACGGAACGAAGGCAGATGCGGAAAAGCTGCGACCAGGACCGCACAACATCAGGGGCACAGCATCGGGATGAAAACAGGTAGGACTGGCAAGCAGGGCTGGGGTGGCGGGGTTTAGGGTGGTGGGGTTTGGCGGGGGGCAGGGCTGGGTGGTGGGGTTTGGGGTGACAGGGCTTAGGGCAGGGCTGGGGGGACAGGGCTTAGGGGGACAGGGAAGGGGCTGGGCAGGGAGGGGGAGCTGGGTAGGTGTGGTGGGGAGAGAGATTTGTACAAAAAAGTAACCGGTTAACTTGAAGAAACAAAATTGGGCAGCCTCCTAAAATTAGGCTAAGAGGAGGTGCTGAGGTAGACATGAACTAGAACATCAATTAATTAAAAACACTATTCTGTAATACAGAGCGATCGGACTGGCACTTGTGCTGTCACCACACATAAGACAAGCCACAAAAACAAACAAATAACGAAACAAAACATAATACCCAAACCGAAAGGCTTAGTTTTGCTTGGTCCAGCAGGGCAGCAGGGCCCTCAGTGCTATAATTTACATACATATATATATATATTTATCTTTATATATATGGGTCGGATGTCATGGTACACCACCACGGCTTCTTAACCTTACAAAGATCATGCATAACACTATGTGAACAAAGCCTATGACACACACCAGGAGGCTGGTACCCTGTCTGCAAAGTGGGACGCCAAGGACCCCAGGAGGCAGGGCCACCAGCTGACAGGCCTGCAGGACCTGCACCCCCCTCTCTCCACCCTTCTTTCCCGACCCAGCCTCCCTGGTCTGTCTTGCACCCCTCTCCCGGCCGGTTCTCTGCCTCTTCCTCCACCCACCAGCGCCCCTAAGCTGGGTCAGTCTGGCTTCTTCCCCCTCCTACTGAAATATCCAGGTAAGTGCCGCCACTAAGCTCCAGGAAAAGAGGAAACCAGACGGGAATAGAAAAAGATAGAACATAGGCCTGGGAAAATGAACAGAGTCGGATCTTTTTCTGCTTTTCTAACATCTGGTGCCCCCTCCTTTCACTCTTGTTGGGCCTTCAGGGAGCTACTACCCCCAAATCTCCTCCTGCCCCGCCAGCTCTTGTGCACAAAGTCCAAAGGCCATCCCACCACCGCTCGCTCCCCTGCAAGGAGGTCAGCCAAATGGCCCTCTCTCTGAAGGGCCTGAACACCCCGGCGGCCGGTGGGACCGACAGCATCCAAGAAGGGTACCATACACTTGTGAAAAATTGCAGCAGTTTTGTTTTGTTTTCTACACATGGAGAAATTCAGGCACAAAGATTAAACAAGCCTGCATTGCATCCCTGGATTGTACTGAGACACTGGGGGCCCCCCGGCCTCCCCACCCACCCCTACACCCCAGATCTACCTTCCCCATATCCGTGGCCTCCTCCAAAGCAGCCCAAAGCAGCAATGATATTTACTATTTTATATCTCTCTCTTGCTATATATATATCTCTATATATTTGTCTATCCTATATACACATAGGATTTTAATGCTTTGAATGAATGAAGGAGGGAATAGGGAAAGAGCACACGACAGGGAAATGTCACCAAAAGCATTAAGGGACACGCCTGTGAGAGCTGAACACTGGAAAGGGACCATTAACCAGCTCGGACTTCCCGGGCTGGAGAAGTTTTGCTATGCTGGATAAGGCAGTAGCAAGTAGGGTTGTCAGCAGGACCACAGCTAAAGGCAGTGGGTGGCCAAGGGGCCAGATGGTAGGACGAAGAGGGAAGTAAGAACACTCAGCTCTCACCTGGGGAGACAGTGCTCTCCACCCTCCCTCGTCTCCACAGCCCCCTTACTCCATACACATCTACAGACTCCACGTAATTTTTGACCTTCACCTTGGCCTTTAGGCCTGGCTAGGCTGAGAAGGCCTTGGCAAGGTCAGGATGACTTTGTTAAGTAGGAACCTGGCAAAGAGGCGTGTTGGGACTCTATGCAGGGTGTCCAGGCTTCGTGGGGGAGGCAAGGAGAGCAGAAGCCAGCACGGGCATCTCCCACCCAGTATCCTTCAGACACCAGCCTGCCCTGACCCCCTCTGTCCTCACTTCCCCCACTAGGGTCCCTCGGGGGTGGTGGGAGCAGGCAGGTGCTCACTCAGTACCGTCCAATGCTGCAACACCAAATCACAACAATACTGCATGATTTAACACACAATCACACACAAAAAGCACACGTGCGCACACGTACAAAGGGATATTGTGGTGGTGGTGGTGGTGGTGGTGGTGGTGGTGGTGGTGATGGTGGTGGCAGATTTTTTTTTTCTTTTTCTTTTTTTTTTCCTATTCACATTACAAAAAAGAAAGGGCAAGGTCCTGTAGAACTGACAAAGGAACTAACAAACATTACAAAAATATTACAATTTGTAAATATTAGCTCAACCCTCTCAGCTTTTATGAATAGGGCAGGAGACCCAGGCTGCGTGGGAAGGGTGGGTGGGGGCGGGGAGTGAGAGGCGTCAGCTAGGTCTATGGAATAGTTTGATTTTTTTTTTCCTTCCCCACCAAAGTTGAATGATATCTTGCTGTTAAAATATTGTTTTCTGGGATTTACAGATCCCCTAAGGGCCAGCAGTACCCCTTCTTCCCAGACTGGGGGAGGAAGCATAGTGCATAATGATTTCTTACAGACTGCCCCCTCCCCCCCAATTCCCCTCTTTTCACATTATCAACATGACAACTGCTCTAGTCACATATTTCAAGTTTAACTTTTTTTCCTTTCCAAAGCACTAAGTCATTATTACAATTGCAAAATCGCATCCTCCCTACCTTATCATCCCCCATCCACAGTCGAGTGACACTGTCTCCCAAATTCATATCCCACCCCCCAACACACAATGTTTAAGGCCTTCAGATTTGGTGGGCGAGATTGCGGGGGAAGGACAGGAGGGCTGGGACCGAGGGACAGGGGGGTGGTCACAGCAGCACCCATCCCTCCGGCGTCCCTACAGCCCTCACAAGCCTCCCCAAAACCGCTTCCCGAAACCACTTTTAAAAAACCTAAGACAAAAACGCAGCCACAACTTTCTCTGAGAGAGAGAAAGGAAAGAAAACACACACACACACACACACACGCACACGCACACGCACACGCACACAACTCTTACAAATAAAGCCGTGAGATGAAACAGGGCCCATCCCAAAGTGAACACAAATATTGCAAATGTGCTTTCCAAAATTCAGGGTGGGGAGGCTGGGAAGTGGGGGGGCAAAGCAGAGCAGCAGAATGGGAGGCGTGAAGGGGAAAAAGAAAAATTGGAGGAACATAAGAGGTAGCTTTTAGAAAAACAACACCCCCACCCTCACGCAACAGAACAAAGGCTGGCTCATCCCCACGCCGGCCCTGAAAAGAGACCGATTTTGGCAATGATCGCACCCTCAGAGGTGGGGCCATGCAGTTGACAGGATCTGAATAATACGGGGCTCCCCAGACCCAAATGACCCAGCAAATTGTGAGAAAGGTGGAATCTTCTCCAGAGTGTTTCAGGCTGAAGCCTTACTGGGCGCAGAGGGCGTGGGGGGGTTGCCCCGGGCAAAGCCAACGGAGACTCCAGCCAGCGTGCCCCCGACACACCCTCTCCTCTGCCCACCTTCTGTTGCCCCCCACGACCCCCCCCCCTTGGCTCCCACATTCAGATCCTGAGTACTCCTTTCTGTGCAGCATCTTCCGGCTAGGACGGGGAGGGCGAGGCCAGCTGAAGTCTATTAAACCAACTATTAATTTACACAAGAAACACAAAAGAACGTCCTCCCTATTCCTCCAACCCCCAACCAAAAAAGAGATACAGGGGTTAAAAAGCTCATGAGGTCACAAAAAACTGAGGTAATTCAAGTACAATGTGCTAACAGGGGAACAGGGGACACGGAAAAGATGCAAAACATAACACAAAGGCCAAAGCGCTTTCAACTCCTCCTCCTCTCCTTCCTCCTCCCTATAGACTGGTTGGGGGGCGCCCTGAGAGCCAGGAATTCTGTGCCGCTCTCTGCACCAGGGCGGGGGTCCCCAGTACAACTCCCCCCGCCTCCGGCCAGCTACCCCAGCCCCTGGTGGCTGGGGTGTCCCCTTCCTCGGGCGGAGGGCACAGTGGAGAAGGACATGTATACATCCCTCCCTCGGAGGGCGAGCCTTCTCCTAGGGACTGAAATAGGGGCTGCAGGGATGGGTGTTGGTGTGTTTGGTGGGACAGTATATGGTTAGTGATGTTTCCTGTGTTGGAAGCAAAAGCAAATCAGCAGGAACCTTGCTCATGACCGGGCTTGACTAGGGTGGGGAATTCCATTTATTTCATGTTCTCAGAAAGCCGAGGGTGGGGTGGGGGCTCTGGAGCCAAATGCAGCCCCCTTCCCTACTAGGGAGCTGGGCAAGGAGGAAGCTGCTTCCCCATTCCCCCGACCCCCATCCACGAGGGGCAGGGTGTCCTTGCCCTTGGAGGACAGGAGTCAGTCACGGGGAGACAAGGAGCTGGGGGTGGGGCGACAGCCACGAGGCTGCTGAAGACCTTGAGGGGACACCCCCACGTGGCAGGGTGGCGGTGGGGCGGGGGTGGTGGTGGTGCAGGGGGAACAACAGATAAACTGAGTCATAGGAAGAGAAGGAAAGCCCCCCCCCGCTCCCATATGCCCCCCCTCAAACCAGAGCTGCCGTGTGACCATCAACTATGACCTGACCCAGCCCCACCACCTGCAGACCCCCTCCCTGCCCCCAGGCCCCTCTTTGGAGGACTCAGCCACAGGGTGACAGGCAGATTGTTTGGCTCACCCCCTTCCTAGCCTCCACTTCTGGATGCAAAAGGGGGGGTCTGGGTGGAGGGAAGAGAAAAATATACCATCATCTGAGCTGAACAAACCACCTCCACCCCCACCCAAGAAAATGAGGCCAGCCTCCAGCCAGAAGGAGGGACACAGGGCCCCTCGCACCCCGGGGAGGGGCAGTGGCCGGGTCTCCAGGTCACCTGGAGCCCCAGAGAGTCTCCAAGGCCAGACAGCTATCGGGTTTCCTTTTTTCTTGTCTTTTTTTTCCTTTTTTTCTTTTTTCTTTTTTTTTTTTTTTTCTATTTCTCTTTTTTTCCACATAGTCCTTCGTCGTCAAATTCACCCTGCTGTAACTCTTCTCTCCGGGCTGCCCGTCCCCTGCCGTGGCCCCGCCTCACACGTAGCACAGGTAGAGGTAAGTCTTCTCTATCCTCCAGTCAGGGGGAATCTCCTCGGGCTTGTGGCCTTTCATGTGCTTCTGCATGGAGGAGAGGCTGGGGCAGTACTCCGTGCAGATGGTGCACTGGTAGGGCGAGGCACCGTTGTGCGTTCTCAGGTGCTTGATCATGGCCGAGTAGTCCCGGGAGCGCTGGTGGCACAGCTTGCACTCGAAGGGTTTCTCGCCTGTGGGGGGCAGGGGGGAGAGAGCCAGGACAGAGGGAGAGGGCGTGAGGGCCTCCCGGGGACAGGGACGCTCTGGGCCCTCGCTCCACCCTCAGGCTTGCCAGGGACTCCCTCCAGTTTAGCACTTTCTAGAACTCTCCATGATGAAGAATGCGCCATCCAATATGGTAGCCATGAGCTGCTGGGCGCCTGCAGTGTGGCCAGCGCACCTGGAGCTGCATGTTCCGTGGCACTTCCCTGTTGCTGATCTCAGCAGCTGCAGTATTGCTCAGCACCCTCTTAGCCATGCCTTACTCTTCTGAACCCAAAGGCCCAGAATATTCCCTTCCAAAGAAAGGATATGGAATCTAGAAATGGGGCAGTGGGGTCCCGAAAGCCCTTAGGGACGGCTCTTCAGCACAGCTCCTTTCAGGGGAACAAGGCGTAGAGTCCTTTCAGGGCTATAGCTGGTGGGGAGGACGGGGATGAACGTGAGGGAACCCCATCCTCCAAACATGCTCCATCCGGGATGCCTATTCCCCTAAGGCTCCCAGAGCCACCCCTGGACCCTGAGCCTTCCCAGGGGGGCCAGGATGGGGAAGGGACACATAGCCTGGGAGTGCCTGGCCACACCCTAGCTGCTACCCACCCTACCTCCTGCCAGTTAGAGTCCCCTGGAGCTGAGCAGAGGGTGTGAGGGAACCTTGTTTCGATACAGTAATTAACTGGCCAGCCATCTCGCCATCGATACTCCTCTGTGCAGAGGCCCCAGCAAATAATGAAGTAATGAACAGCCAAAGTGATCTAACTATCGACCTGCTATTTACAATAGTCACCACCGATGCATTTAATGATCCGCTCACCAGGTCACATCCCCAGCAGGGGGCTAAGGAAGCCCTGGGGCTCTGGGAAATGCTCGGAGTGACTCTGGCTGTCAGCAACAAGCACCTGAGGCTCTCCTCTGGCCCAGGCCTGGGCAAGAAAGCAGAGCTCCATAACGCAGCATCCTCTCCCTCTCCTTACTGCTTCCCTGTTCTCCCCGCGGCTTGTGGATGCATCCTCACCCCTCGGCCAGCAGGACCTGTCTGAGGTCACCTCTCCCCCCATCCTCTGTCCCCAGGTCAGGACAGCTGTTTCACATGATCAGAGGAGGATTCCTACTTTGCTAGATTCCACTACCTTCCACTACCTCTTATCCTCATAGGAAGTCCTTCTGAATATCCACCTCCCCCCCACCCCAAAGCCGCAACCAGCAGGGTGCTGCTGGTAAATGTTTAACAACTAGCTCTCCAAAAAGGCCCAATTTTGTAGCATTTGCCTGTGGCCGTGTCTGAGGTGATGTGGCTGCACTTGGGAGTCAGGGAGAGACGTGCAGGTGGACTTCCATGAGCTGGTGCATGCCAGCTCCAGCATCCGCCACCCCCCAGTTTGGCAATTCTGGCCACTACGGCCACTTCCTCTTGCTCTGTCCTCAGATCCCACGCCCCCATCCTATTTCTTTTACATAAAAAAGAATGTGAAGGCCCTCTGAAATGGTAAACATCATACAGGTAGAGGGGTCTGTGAATATATCTGCGATCTGACTCCCAGCGTCCCAGCCCTCATCTTAACCTAACTCAGTGCCCCCCTAGCCTCCAGGAACAAGAAGCCCTGCCCAGCGTTTGCTTTTAGTCTTCAGGCCAACCTGACCCCAATTCAGGGCTCACAGATAGAAGTCATCTATGCACTATTGGTACGGCTGCCTGGAAGGTGGGTCTGGGCTCCTGGAAAGTGTGCTGTGATCCACTAGCAACGTGTGCCTCGGCCTTGCAGGGGGCAGTGGCGCCTGGGCCGTGCTAACCTTTCCCAGAACACGCTCCACTCTCCGTCTCCGCCTGGGACCATGCCCACCCAAGCTGCTCTGGAGAACCACCTGCCCCCTGCCACTTATACCCAGGTCCCCGCGCAAGCTGGGGTGCCCTCACCAATCCTCCGTACCTGTGTGCACCCTATAGTGTGTCTCCAGCTGGTGCTTGAGGCTGAACTTCTTGCCACAACCATTGCACTCGTAGGGTTTCTCGCCCGTGTGTATGCGTTTATGACTCTTGAGTGTGCTCTCGTCCCGGAAGCAGCTGCCACAGAACTCACACTCATACGGGTGGTCGCCTGTGGGGACAAAAGGCTGGATCAGAGCCTCGTCTCCCCTACCCCCATCCCCTCTTCAAGAGGCGGCAGGGCACATTTAATGCACCGAGAAGATGAGACTGCCTATCTTCACCACCGTTCTTCAAAAACATATAAGGACCCGTGGCCTTCTCTGGGACCCAGTGGGAACCAGGGAGCTTGTATGCACACACATGTCCATACTTTACAGGGGCCTAGAGTTCATCTGTGGGTCAAGGGCCAATCCCAGGAAGAGAAAGCCCATTTGATTCAGGGATGAACAGCTGACCCCAGAAAGCAGACCCCCACAAGGGGAGGGCAGACCCGTGGGCTTTGACATCTTGCCCCCCAACTTCTCCTGCCACCCTCTTCCTTTCCCATAGGTAGCCTGACTGCCTCTCCTGCCCTCAAACCCCCCCCCCCAATTTGGGGAACTAGAACACACTGTCCCCCAAATGCCTTGTGCTCCCTCCTCGCTCCACAGTTACAACAACTATCCCCTCTGCTTGATTTCCTCTTTTCTTGCTTCAATGAACTCCTACTCATCCTTCAAGACCCAGTTCACACATCACCATGGTTTGGAAGTTTCCCTTCAACGCCTCCCACCCAGGTAAACTGAATCGCTTTCTTCTATCCTAAGAGAGAAGAAATACCTAGCACTGTGTTATTTTAGCAGCAGGATCATTTTTACGGGAATTTTTAATTGGAATGGTCTAACCTGCTGAAGGCTCACCACCATGCTAGGAGCCTTACACACATCTTATCATGTAATCACTGCAATCACCTGACAAGAAACACACAATTCTCATCATATAGACGAGAAGAATGAGATGCTTAGCTCATCTCTAAGGTCAAATAGCTCATAAGTCGCTGAGTCAGGATACAGATCTGGTTTTGGAGTCTGAACGCTTGATAACTTATCGGATGGCTAAGTTGCACACAGCCCTGTCTCTCCTGCCACGCACACTGTACCCTGAGGATGGAAGCACCTTGAGGGTCAGAAGGGAGACTTGTCGATCCTTGTTGCCTGGGTACGTAGCACACGGACGACCCAGGGCAGATGCTCAGGCCTGGAAGCAGTGCTGTCGGCCTCCCTTCTGTGTGTGGCACCCATTAGCCCCCTGGAGGGTGAGAGGGTGGGGTGCTGGGATCCACCATCTTTTGCTTTGTACCCAAAGTGGAGGCTTTGGGGGCTGAAAGGTGAGGCCTTCGGCGACTTATTTATTACAGGAGTGAAGGCACAGACAATAAAGATAGATGGATCACCCCAGACTTTGTTCATGAATATTTAAATATCGCTGATTCGTCTTGTCACTGTAATTACAATTTCTCTGGGCTGCATCTCCAACAACCACAGTTTATGGTAAAGAATGGCCCACTGTATTTCACTTGTCCCTCTGCAGATGTGCGGGGCTGCCAACCGTGTAATGTCCTCTGCATTTCATACATTTTCTTCGGCTGCTGAAGGCTTAAGTCATCCACAATGACCTACGTTTTTTCATTATCCCCATGTCAAACTGCACTCGTGCCTGGGCATAAATTGTCCTTCTCGTTATAGACTCGCGTGCCTATGCCTTCACTTCCTCTTTAAAATGATATTTTACTCTCTTGTCTCTCTCCTCCTCAGGCCGCTAACCAAACCTCCCCCCTCTCAAACGCAGGCCCCCGTCCCCACATAAATTCTCATCTCTCCTGATGGTGCTGAAGGGTTTTTAAGGCTCTGTGGGGAGTGGATGCTGGGGTCTGCTCACTGCGGGCTCGCTCTCTCTGCAAGTAGCTCTGAAGACACAGAGTGGTGGTTGGGAGCACTCCCAGGCGGAGTCAGACAGGAGAAGCTGAAAGAGCAGAACCACATCTCCACATGGGTTCTCACCAAGCTACAGGGTACAGCCCTGGCTGGCTCAGAGGCATGGGCAGGTCTGGAGACAGACCAAATCCTGGGCTTCCCGGCACCTGCCAGGGCCATACAGACCACCTGGTCCCCAGCTTCCAGCCCCACCAAACCCAGGGGGAGTAGAGGTCTATGCAGACCCTGGTCCTCACTAGCTGTGCGTCGTCTGAGTAAGGGCCAGTCTGCATAGGCCTGTGCCGCGTGCTACTCTCTCTGTGCAGACGTCTGCACACAGCTCCCCCCCACTCCGCCTCGTTGACATCCGACTCCCCCTCCTTGCCGAATTGGCAACGATAACGACTTTAATCAGTATCCTCATTAAGATATAAATAAATAAATAAAGCAAGGGCCACGTGAGACTTCCAACGAGAGCCGGTAATTAAAACGTACATCGGCTACATCGGCAGCCACCCGACTGAGGGCGGGGGCGCCAGGGGGGCAGGGAGCCGCTGTCTGTGCCTTCCCCTCCAGAGGGGGGCCCTAAGAGTTTAAAAAACAAAGGGTTAAAGCAGAGAGGTTTGTTTGATCAGATTTTTATGAATTTAATTATGAAGTGGATCACATGTTAAATGAGTTTAAATAGGAAATCTCCAGAGTCAGCCCAGGGAAAGGAGTGAAAAGAACTTTGAAGGAAAAAAAAAAAAGATGCGCACACAGAAGCACATGCACACACATGAACACACACTCGTGCACGCACTTTGAAGCATGGTGAGCACCTAGCCTAAAATCCTCACCCCGAGAGTTAATGGTGTCAGTGTTGCCATAATGTACACAAAACTGGCTGCAGAACTCAAAATCCAATTTGTGGTATGTTGATTAACTCTGTAGCCTCTTTAATGAGCTTGACATTAAGTGCAGGACAAACGAGACTAATTAGAGCCCCTCTGGCCTGCCCAGTGCATCTGTGACCCCAGCGGCCTGTCCTCACCTGGGGGTTTCCCTGGCACTGGCCAGGCCCCTCCCCAGCAGCCCCTCCCCTTAGCACAGCTGAGAGTTTATTATATGATGAGCTGTGTGAGTCAGGGATTCATCAATGCCAAGAGCGCGGCTGGACTAACCTACCAAACACAGCTGCCGATGCTAAACACCCGGCCCCGGCAGCAAGTGGGCCAAGAGCAATGGAATATTAATGAGGCATTGTGTAGGGGGTGTGCTTGGCCTGTACAGGGCTTATGTGCACTGGGCCTCACTGGTGTGAAAATCGATGCATGTTTGTGTGTGTGCATGTGCGCACACGCATAGGCAGCACACATGTCCATATTTCCTAGATTAAACAGGTACTTCTCTCAAACTATGGGAAGAGCCCCTCCCCACAGATCTGCACCATGACAACTCAGGAGCAGGTGATATCTTGATGCCTGCACTCCTAGAAGGTAGCGTGGGCAGAGCAGGGCATATCCCGGGTGGACGTAGCAGATGGGATGACTCAAGTCCTATGAACCCAACTGATTTGACCTAGCAGCATGCTCAAAAGTGGCTGAAAGGTGATTGGCTGTTTTGTTAAGGCTGAACTTGGGGACCCAGTGGGGGGAAGTGTGGACAGGATAGTGTGTGTTATCTGCAAGGGATCCATATGCAGTCACTATAGACAAAGTCCTCCTTGACACCCCTTTCTCCTTAGCCTTTCTTGTCGGGCCCTCCCCTCTGTGACCTCACCTCCTCCTGTGCCAGCAAACCCAAATGGTTCCAAGCCAATCAGGTGATGCTTAAGGCAATATGCTCCCCCCAGGTGAATGGCATCAAAAAGTGAGAGTCCAGGCAGGCTCTTTGATGAGGACACATGCTGCTGGCAGGACAGGCCTGCTCAGTCCATGGTGAGCAAAGCCCCTCCCTCAAGTTGGCAAAGCCTGCCACCCGAGGAAGGCCTGGCCTATATCCTTAATCCCAGAGCTGTGACAAGACCCAGGAATGAGGAGGGAGAGGGTCCTACCATTCCTGTCTTGAGGCAGTCAGCTTTTTATACCATCTCCAAGAGACATGAGCATATACTCTGTCGTATACTCCGATATGGAGTCTGCCTGTCTGTCTCCCTGTCCCTCCCAGCCTCCATGGTCACCCCAAACCCGGGATCGAGCACACAGGAGTGGAGACACATGCAGACTCTGAAAGGGATGCTCTTTTATCCACTGAAGACCCAATTTTGTCATAGAAAAAGGAATAACTTTAAGTCACCCATTACCTTGGCTAGGGGACTAGAGGCTGCTATGAGAAAGCAATCTGCCTCTTGGCCCTCATGGTCAATGTAGAGGGTCGTGGCAAGGACTAACCAGCACCTGGGCACATGGCCCAGGCCCCTCAACTCACAACTACTTTCCCTCCCCCATCATTTCATTGTTTATAAGCCCTCACTGTCTCCCCTAAATGTTAATGGTCAAGTATAGAAAATATGCTTGTTATTTTGTGGGTTTTTTTTTTCTTCTGTTATTTTGGAGCAAGCAGGACCATTTCTGTAATATTCCCTTAAGAGCCCACGGCTGATTCAGGAGCATGTGGCCATGGGGTGGAGGCCAGGGAGAGTGGTGAGGGCTGTGGTAGAGACCAAGCAGGCAGGCTTTCCTCAAAATGCATTGTGGGTCCACCTGCAGCAGAATCTTTGGGGAATATTTATTCATCATATTGAGTCTTGGATCCTACTCCATATCCACGAAGTCAAAGATTCTGAGGGTGGGTGGCACCCAAGAGCCTGCATTTCTAAGGAGTACCATTTCAGCTGAGCACAGAGATTGAGACCCTCAGGTCCCCGACGTGGGACAGGGACAAGAATTAACATTTACCTGTGCTACAGAACCCCCATAGCATGCCCACCTTGAGCAAAGAAGGGCTGAGGGCTAACTCAGCCTGACCCCTCCACTGGATGTCCTAGGAGGTCCATCCAGACGTGGATTCCCAGAGACTCTGATCCAGCCACCACCTGGACGGGCCTACCTGTGTGTGAGCGCAGGTGGCGTTTGAGGGCGGTGTGGCTGGGGAAAGTCCGGTTGCACTCGCTGCAGATGTAGCTGCGCACGCCCGCGTGGACCTCCATGTGCTGCTGGAGCGCGCTCTGCGCCTGGAAACGCTTCCCACACAGCAGACAGAAGACGGCCATGTCCGTGCCTGCGGGAGACAGGGGCGGGAGAGCCTCAGGAGGGTGGAGCACAAGGCTCTGCTCTACTCATACAGGCTAGAGCAGGAGCCAGTGTTGGGGCTGCTGCCTCTACTCCCCCCGAGCTCAGGGGCGAACCCAGAGGTGGACCAGGCCAGGCAGCGTTGATGGAGCACCTAGCGTGTGGCTCCGATGGTGGACAAAATCAACTTACCTCTCACCCTCGTGGGACCTAAAGTCTACTGGGAGAAAGACAATCAAATATGTCACAACAACAAACAATGAGTCAGCCGTCGTGCGGGGTGCTGTGTCAAAGGCAGGGTTCTGAGATGGCGTGTATCAGAGGGGCTTTTCGGAATCTGGGGCAGGAGGTGGAGGTCAGGTGGCCTCTGTGGGGGATCCCAATATTGAAGACAGCATGTGTGAGCCAATGTTCAAATGGAACCACTCTCAAGTCCCATCTCCAGAAGGCAAGCTCTACCACCTTGCCTTTCGATAAGCCAAATGCACAGAGACTGAGCAACTTGTCCAAAGTGCCACTGAGTTCAGAAGCTGCAGAGCTACAGTGCAAACCCAGGCTGCCTGGGTCTGAATCCTCCCCAGAGGCTCCCTACAGATCCTGTTCTTTTAACCAGCTTTCCCTTCAACTGAAGCACACATCTTAAGAGTCTCTTCATTCAACACAGGTTATTCTAGTGCCTCCTATAAGGAGGACCTCCTCTTGGGCACAGGGGATCTAACTATGGAAAACTATACAAAGTCTCTGCTGTCATCATAGATGTCACCCAGAACATGGGGCCAGTGGGGGAGAGTGCCCATGACCACCCTGGCCTGGAAAAAAAAATGCAGTTATCAGGGCACCAGACAGAACAGCACAGCTAGGGAGACGGTGCGGGGAAGGCCAAAGATGGAGGCAGGTCCAGGTCATATGCGGGTCTTGAAAACCATGTGAAGACATTTAGGCTGCATCCCAAGACCAATGGGCAACTGTCTAAGGATTTCAAGCTCATGGGTGGCATGAGGTTCTCATTTCATGCTGGCCATTCTCTGCAGGGATGAGAAGCACAGGTAGGTACCGCGTGGTGCCCTACAAACACAAGCTACTTTCTTTGTTATCGACCCCCTTTCTGATCCTGCTCCAGAGCCATAGCTGCTCTGGGTACAACAGCACGTGAGGAAGCATCTAGACCCATCATCTAAGTCCAACTGGTGGCTCGTTGCCCACCATTTTGGATCCTGTTTCCCTACGCATGTCAGCTGCCCCGGGAGCTCAGCTGCTCCCCTCCCGCTGGCATCTGGGCAGCATCACAGTGCTCAGCCCTGCACCACCTTGTCCTGTGTAAAGGACACAAGTGGGGAAGGGCAGACAGGCCCAGCGTCCGTCAACAGAGCCCAGAGGGGAGGAAGGGCAGAGCTCTGGCTGCTTGGCATGGAATTATGGTGCCCCGGGGAGGAAGCAGGGTGGAGATGAGGAATCCATGAAGACCCTGCTGCCTCCCTGGTCCATCCATGGAGACGGCAGAGGGGTGGCCTGTTCTCGCCGACTCAGTCCTGTTCATGGCTGGGTTGAGGATGAACCAGTGGGAAGGCCAGACCCTTTGGTCCCCCCATTCCTCCAGCCCTCAGGGCTACCCATGCGGGCTACTCAGAAGGCCGGGCAGCCGCTGCCTGCAGCCAGATCCAGGGAAGGCTGGACACAAAGCAAGAGCACGGTTTTGCTCCTGTCTTGCCAAACAGAGGGAAAGGAACTAATACAGATGATGTGCAGGTGCTTTATCCATGTCCACGAATACCTGCATCCAACCCCACAAGCCAGGCATTCTCATCCCCCTTTTTACAAATGGGAGAACAGAGTGACTGGACAACTTGCCTAAGGCCACATGGTCAGAAGAGGCAGAGCTGGGATTTAGAAATGCCTCATCTGATTTCAAGAGCCACAAAGCTGGGCGCATGTCTGTTTCCAGGTGTGCCACCTGTCCGTCTGGGCTTCTCCCAAAAGGGGCATTGTAATGACAGCCCGCTGCTGCAACCCCAGTGCACCCAGGGCCCGCTCCAGGAACAATTAGAAAACCTGGGCCATGGGACGTCTGGGTGGCTGAGGGGTTGAGCATCTGCCTTTGGCTTAGGTTGTGATCCCGGGGTCCTGGGATCGAGTTCCACGTCGGGTTCCCCACAGGGAGCCTGCTTCTTCCTCTGCCTGTGTCTGCCTCTCTCTCTCTGTGTCTCTCATGAATAAATAAATAAAATCTTTAAAAAAAAGAAAAGAAAGAAAAAACCTGGGCCATTCAAGTGGACTGGCAGCAGGGGTCACAAGGTACAGCTCTCTGAAGCCTTCCCACCTCCCCCAGCCAGCAAGAACCCCGTGAAGTAATGGGATGCTTGGCTCCACTTGACGGAGGGGAGCGGTCTGCCCGGTGGAACCAGCTCAATAGCTGACAGTGGGTGCCCAGTGTCCGCCCAGCCAGGTCAACACCCCGAGGTGTGCAGCCCATCTGCAGCATGTTCTGGGACATGGCTGCCCCGGCTCTTTCATCCTGAGGACCCCAGCACCAGCCCCAATCAAGCCACATGTCAAAGAGCTGCCTTAAATTGGTATGCTGGAGCAGGCCTTGGGGCCAAGCTGTGCCCTTCGGCAGCCCAGACTCCTCCTTAGACATCCCCTGAGATCCCCAGGGTAGAAGGTACCTGGGTCAGAGGGAACGTGCCATTCCCAGCAGGACACTCCAAGCCTATAAAGCCAGGCCCAGAGGAGCTCTGTGGGCTGGTCCCTTCCCTCCCCAGCAGGGCCCACTGAGAACCTCACACCACTCAGCCCCCAGGTCTTTCCAAGGCTCCTCAAATGTGCCCAGCCAGGCCATCCATACTTCTCAGGATGGCTTGAACCCATTTCGTGTCCATCTAGCACACCCAACAAACATTTACCAAACATAGGCACTGCTAGGTAACAAGGGATATACTGAGAACAACCAGAGAAACAGGGTCCCAGACAAGCTGGGGATGCAGACAGGGTGGCTCCATAAGAACTTCGGCTTTGAGAAATGAAGAATATGGAGAAGCCAATGAGCAGGAGGAGGGGTACAGGAGCGAGATGAAGGAAACGCTGAGAGCAAATTTTAGAGCGGGCAGGGACACAGGACAGCCCCAGATGATGGGGATACGCAGGGAAGGTCAGTGGGGGGCAGATCACCACAGCTGTATCACCGAGTGGGACAGATTATACTTCATTCTACAGGCTGCATGGTGCCTGGAATGGACAGGCATGGGGGGTGGTGCCAGCATGAACCGACCCGTATGCAAGGGCAATGCCCCTGGGGCAGCGTGAGGGCCAACCGCAGTGGCAAAGCTGGAAGCAGGGAGAGAGCTGATGGTTGCTGTGATGCCACCAGAGGAGGATGGGAACCAGACCAGGGGAGGGACTCTCAGGAGGAGGAATGGAGAAATGAAGTTTGGGGAAGATGGCATGACAGGACCTGGCACAGGGGCTCGAGTTGGGAAGCATGGTGTACCCAAAGTCCCGGACTGCCATCTCTGCACCCTGGTGTCTGGTTTCGAGTTATATAATCACCACTTTGGAAGGAAATGCTACAATGTCCGTGCAATGGTCCCTCTCCCCTTCCTGGGATGTCCCCCAAGGCTCAGGGGCTCTCCTTGACCACTGATATACTGGCCGAGGTGCAGAGATGAAGAGAAGAGGTCTCTGAGGCCCCACAGTCACTCTCCCCTTTCTTCTGTTTGGAGACCAACAGCTGAGAATATGGAAAAATATTTAAAAAGAAAAAAGGAAAAGGTGGGGGCAGAAGTGGAGGAGACACAAGAAAAGCTACTGGTGCATGCAAGCTAAAAAATCTAGAGACTAGATTTGAGTTATTAAATAATTTGCTGTAGTTTCTGCCTAGCTGATTGTTCGCATGTATGATGAGTCAGGGCAGATTCTATTACACTGGGAGATTAAGCAAATAAATGCTAGCTTTTGGAAACACATTAAAATGTGGGACTATGGAAATAAAATTATCTAGAAAATTGTATTAGCAATTCATTAGCTGCCATGAAATGTGCAGCCGGGCAAGAGGGCCGGGCAGTGTTAAAACACTCTGCTCTTTGCAACGCCCGAGCCGCAGGGATACCTGGCGCTCCTTCCTCTGCTATAAAGAGACCTCATGACTGATATCACCGGGGAGACAGGAAGAGCCTCCACTGGTTGTAGAAAACATTCAGAAATCATCTGATCAGCATGACACACAGGAGACAAGAGCAGCACAGGGGTCTTGGCTCTGCCACTTACTTGCCTTGTGATTCTGACCAAGTCATCGAACTTCTCTGGGCCACAGTTTGCTCATCTTTTGCCAGAGTGTCATTGCTGAGAGCATCAAATGAGATACCCATGCACAAAAGCTTTATAACTATAAAGTGGTAGCAGAGCCATTGCCAGCCCAAACGACGCCTTTGTCTGAATTAGAAAATCATGTCTCTTCCTCTGGGCAGACAAAGATAGTCGTCTGGGTGCACAGCTCTGACGAGCAAAGAGAGCTGGACTCCAGCCTCCATTTCCCCCTTAGCTGGGCATCCTCCTGCAAATGACCCGGATGGGCATCACGGCAGCCCTGCACAATGTATGAACTGAAGTTGTTTTATCGACTCTGGGCTGCTTCTTCCAGGAAGCTGACTCTAGAGAAGCATCTTTGATGAGTTACACCATTTAGGACTCCATGCCAAGAACATCTTCTTCCTCTAAGCCATCACGACTACAGCACATAAAACCCTTTGATGCATTTATTTTTGACATTCAGCTCTGCCTACTAGATTGTAAGCCCTCCAAAGCAGGAACTATCCTCTTAATCTTCATATTGCCCAACACAGAGCACTGGGCTTGGCATATAGTAGGCACTCAGTAACTGCATGGTGAATACAAGAATAAGTAAGGAGCTGTGGGCAGTCCCAGGACAGAGAGCTAGAAAAAGCTCAGACCAAATGAAGCCATTACTGAGTACTTCTAGCAAGACTCTCTTTGGAA